TGACTCCTGATTTTGATATCAATATTAATGCCTTCATATCTTGGCATACACTGTTTGTTCTCTGGAGAACGGCTGCAAAATATGGTAACAGTTTTCTGTTTGCCAAATACACGACGTCTTAAAATCAACAGGCTCCGTGAAGCATCGCCTAAATAATTCAAAGATCGCTCCCGAGATCTTCCCTGTGAAATGTGCCGCACGCAAATCTCAGACAGTTCAATCAAGGCTAGTGTTCAATTATAGGAAACCCGGCTGCGCGAGGCAATTTCTCCTAGATGATTGGTTCGTAGATCTTTTGAAACTTGCAAAAAAAGTGAGACTAAATGCCCAGTAGGATAAAAAGCCTAAACGCATTTGGAGAGTGCATCTGTCATTTCTCGTTTCTCATTTCTGTGTGCTGGTTGTTGGATCATTGCCTGGAAGTCAGTTTGTAGTTAAACAGTATACTTTCAATAGGTCTTGGAGACATCTGAAGGCTGTCCTTTAACTTTCTTGTGAGATATGAGCAAAATATTGGTGGTTTAATTCCATGGACTACATCCATACAAGTAAAGCCTGTTAACTTCCAGCGGCCCATATTTTAGTAATCATCATAAATTAGGTCATTTGAAAGCTTAAACACTTAAAGTTGGACATTGCCTTACCATGGAAATGCTACTTTAAAACCTTTTAGCAGGCTCAATTTTTACTTTAAAAGGTCCACTGTCTTATGCACATTCTGCAAAAATAAAAAAATAAAAAAAACATTTTAAAGCTACACTGTGTGATTTTTACCCCCATCTAGAGGTGAAAAGGTATATGACAATCTAGTGAATATTAGTTTCTGTTCCTCTCAATTCCGATTTCGGTGGCCAATGTAGTCCAAGATTAACATGGCTTCCAGTTCGACCTCGTCCATGAGTGTTAACTCAAACGTAAACGCGAAAGGCGGAGCTTGAATTAATGGGTATGTCCCTCTTTGGCTAATGTACTTTCAAGATGGAGGGGCAACATGGCGAGCGACATTAGAACCCCTTACCCGTATGTGTTTTCAATGGCATATTATACACTCACGAGAATACTTTATTACTTGAACGAAGTAAATATACATTAATGAGCACATATATTTTAAATGTTTTTAGCTAAGAATAAACTAAAAGAGTTACACAGTGTAGCTTTAAGGTCCACTGAAGTGCCTTGAAATGCACAGCTTTATTCAATGTGTTGACGTTATTTCCACTGAAACAGAAATACAGGGCGGGGCATATCGAACAGCTCCTCCCCTTTTTAAAAACAGCCAATAGCATTTTGTTTATATATCACAGCTCAGCCAGAGCCATTGAATCTGAAATATGTTTTCTGGTCTGCGGGACTCATGTGTATCGTGTCCCTGAACCGGAGCTGCGACGGTTCGCGTGACACAATCGCCTCAATGGAAAGCATATTTACACTGTCTGTCTGAATCGTTCCCTATCCCCTTTATAGTGTACTATGTGCCATTCACCATGTAGAAAATAGTACATGTGTGAACAAGCGAGCAATTTCTGCCACAGCTTAAGCGTATATTTATAATGTAGGGGGCGGGGCTTTGGATTCTAGAGAGCATATGATTGGACAGACAATCTAATAAGAAGCTGAAGTGCAGAGTGATGTCATACAAATCAATAATCCATATTATTGAAAGGGGAGACTGTAAGTTTTTCTTCTAGACGTGCATTTTGTCATTGTTTTAGGTAGCTTATAACAGTAAGACTATATTGGTACTAAAAGCCAAAAAAAAAAAAAATCTATTTTAATTTCATGGGAAATTTTGATTTGACTTTGATTTTCTAATAATTTAGAGTCCAAAAAGGGTTGTAATATATATTTTGAAGAAAAAGAAAAGGATTGTATGCATCAATGGATGAAATTAGATTAAATGGAGACTGTTATGTGTGTGTCTCCTATTTCTCAGATGTTTCTTCTGAAAAAGGCTCCGGTAATCTCATGTGTCGAAATCAACTGTGTGCAGATTTGCCTACTTTGAAACTAAAGTCAAAGATTTCCATATGAACTCGAGTGCAAATTATCGTTCTGTTTAAGATTAAAAGACGATCTGGCAGGAGATGTGCCGTGTTCAATGGTTCTCTTTCAGGTATGGTTTTCCCGTGCCTTTATTTTGATCCCATCACCTGTGATGTGTTCAGAATCGAGAAGGATAGAGAAGAAGGGGGGTTAAATATTCTGGATTTCTGCATGCCATAAATTGCTTTCTGTCAGAGAAATGTAAATCAACATGGCATGAGCAGATTGATGGAGTCGCTGGAGCACTTGAGGCTGGCTGCACTTTTATTTGAGGCCAGTGCAAAATGCTGCGTGTTGATGTGGATGGAGAGGGCTTTAATGCACACGGCTGTGAATAATAGACGAAAAGATAAACTAACCAAACTCTTTGCTATGAAAGATTAGACTAATTTTCTGTTTCTGTTTTTAGCTTCTTATTTTTTTTCATAATGCAAGTCATTTTGCGTTCTTTTACATAAATGTATCTTGACATTTCATTTTTAGATATTTATTCTGAAGAACAAGACAAAACCGCTGAGTAATAAATATGTATATTATAACACAATTTGCTTTGTTTAAATACCTGTTCAATTTCTCATTAATGCAATCTAATCAACCAATCACATGGCAGTTGCTTCAATGCATTTAGGGGTGTGGTCCTGGTCAAGACAATCTTCTGAACTCCAAACCGAATGTCAAAAAAAGGTGATTTAAGCAATTTTGAGCGTGGCAAGGTTGCTGGTGCCAGACAGGCCGGTCTGAGTATTTCGCAATCTGCTCAGTTACTGGGATTTTCACGCACAACCATTTCTAGGGTTTACAAAGGACGGTGTGAAAAGGGAAAAACATCCAGTATGCGGCAGTCCTGTGGGCGAAAATGCCTTGTTGATGCTAGAGGACAGAGGAGAATGGGCCGACTGATTCAAGCTGATAGAAGAGCAACTTTGACTGAAATAACCACTCGTTACAACCGAGGTATGCAGCAAAGCATTTGTGAAGCCACAACACACACAACCTTGAGGGGGATGGGCTACAACAGCAGAAGACCCCACCGGGTACCACTCATCTCCACTACAAATAGGAAAAAGAGGCGACAATTTGCAAGAGATCACCAAAATTGGACAGTTGAAGACTGTGTGACGTTTTCATACACTCTTTGTTTTTTAGTTTGTTGGTTCTTTAATGCTGGGGTGCCAGACAAAAGTTCTGTCCTTAATTTAGTTCAGTTTACAAAAACGTTCAAAGGTCTTGCACAGTCTGGTTTGTCTTTCACAAAACCCCTCACTTACTTATTTGAGAAAATAACTGCCAACAATAATACTCACAATAAAAACTCTTAATTAGACCCCTTCTACATTCAATATGACAGACAACTAGAATTCATTCAAATATGTATATTAGCAAATAACACCACAGCTCCAAGTGTCTCAAATAACTTTTTAGTTTGAGTAGAAAGAAGAAAAACAAAACAAAACAAAACCTACCTCACAAGTTTCTTCCACCACAAAGGTTACAAAAAGAAACAAAATGACCAATATCAGCAGTAATTCCAACAGTTCAGTTCATATCGTTCAATAATCCACAGTCAGCAAGGGAACGAGTATATAAATACATCTCCCCAATCAAAAACAGTCAAAAAAGTTAAGTCAAAAAAACAGTCATCCAGAACTGGCCTAGTGTACTCACGAATCCTTCTTCCTTGAGTAGTCCGGTCCACGTTTTACTGGAATTTCCCAGACGTGAGTATGCAGGCTGGAGGCTCCTGATCCATCAATTCCGCCCAGATTTTAGAACTGCTCACTCGTTCTGTTAGCCTCGCAGCGTCTCAACGACCATCCGCTAATCCACCATGACGAGGATACAATGCTTCACTTTTAATGATCCAGAGCGCGATTGATTACATCGCAGCCGTAACACTCTTTTTGCCCGGATAAAACAATAAATCACGGTAGTCTTCAAGCGGAGCTCCGCGAGGTACTCACTGACTGACTTCCAATCGCCGACCTCAACTTCCTTTCCTTGAAGTTTGAACGACGCACGTCATCCAGATAAAGCTGGCTGGGCTTCCGCCTCGTCATCATCTTCGTCGCTATCGTACGACGACCGCAGATTCACATAGCCTACTATATACATTGTTTTGATTTTGTGGATAATGAACTCGGATTATATTACTGATGAAAAATGACTGATAAATCTAGGATAAATAAACATTTAATTGCTTATTTTATGACAACATCGTCACAACTGGAAAAATGTTGCCTGGTCTGATCAGTCTCTTATTTCTGTCGAGACATTCAGATGGTAGAGTCAGAATTTGGTGTTTAAACAGAATGAGAACATGGATCCATCATGCCTTGTTCCCACTGTGCAGGCTGGTGGTGGTGGTGGTGTAATGGTGTGGGGGATGTTTTCTTGGCACACTTTAGGCCCCTTCTTGCCAATTGGGCATCGTTTAAATGCCACGGCCTACCTGAGCATTGTTTCTGACCATGTCCATCCCTTTATGGCCACCATGTCCCCATCCTCTGATGGCTCCTTCCAGCAGGATAATGCACCATGTCACAAAGTTCGAATCATTTCAAATTGGGTTTCTTGAACATGACAATGAGTTCACTGCACTAAAATGGCCCCGATCTCAAATTGAGTATCTTCGGGATGTGGTGGAACGGGAGCTTCGTGCCCTGGATGTGCATCCCACAAATCTCCATCAACTGCAAGATGCTATCCTATCAATATGGGCCAACATTTCTAAAGAATGCTTTCAGCACCTTGTTGAATCAATGCCACGTAGAATTAAGGCATTTCTGAAGACGAAAGGGGGTCAAACACAGTTTTAGTATGGTGTTCCTAATAATCCTTTAGGTCAGTGTATATATATTATTTATAATAACTTGCACAGTTTTGCTTCGGTTTGCCTTTTGAGAAAGTTTATTAATATTAAATCGACTGGAAAACAACACAAAATACTGACAAATATGTATATTTTTCAGTTTATTCATGGAATGTCTGTCATGAAAATTCGAGTGCCGCTCTGCTCCTGACATTACTGTGACCCTGAGAGGCTGTTCTTCCAGCAGGGATGGTGGTCTGTTGATTTTTCCGATCCCATGTGTGTGAAAGCGTGGTGTGGTCTCTCCCATCTGCTGGATGCAGCTCATTAGGATGCGATAGAGATCCCTTCCAAAACAAACCCGGTCTGCGCTCAGAGAATGGGGCTGGTGGTAAACACTAGAGCGACATGACAGCTTCACTCTCACCATCAATAAATCCTCTCGGCTTCACCAGCCTGCCTATGCACACCTGTAAGAGAGAGAGAGGGAGAGAAGGTGAAAATGCAAGCTGTCCCATGACTCAATGACAACAAATGACCCAAAAGAACCAGAACAACTGTGAAATATGATCAATACAAACACCCACCGTTCCACAGACAATTCCCAATATCCCTCATTCAGTTTCAGGAATATTCCTGTTTCTTTTGGTTGTGCTATTATATTATATTATATTATATTATATTATATTATATTCATGTGATTTGTCTCAGAGGCTCACTTTAGAGAAATAAAAAGAGACAGAAATGTGTCACTATAGTTGCCATTCAGTGAGTGTTGAGTCACAAAATGAATGTGGATTACTGCTCAGATCATTTGATCAAAGAATTGCACGAAAAAATGTCCATATTGAGATCTTGGACTTTTGATTGAGATTTTTTGATGTCTTGGCAAATTTGAGCACAGTTCGAGACCTCGAGATCTCTCTTGAGTATGTAAGTCACTCCATTTAATCTTATTTATTTAGGAGATTCAATTAAAGAGATGTCATTTGTGATGCTTCCTATGGGATCACATTGCATGAACTGCACTGCAAACAAAATGCTTTTCTTAATAAGAGATGATAGTCTCAGTCTCCATTCACTTTCATTGCATCTTTTTTTTACAATGTAATAAAAGTGAATAGTGACCAATTTGGTCATTCTACCTCCGTTTGTGTTTCATGACAGAAACTTGGGAACGACACGAGTGAAAAATATACATATTTTTGTTTAGGTACAACTATAAAACAAAATCCCTTAATTAAATTTGAAATCCGGAAAACAAGTCTGACATAATTATGAGAATTATTTTTTTTTTAGGAAAACAAGAAAAATGCAAAGTAAAACTTTATTTATTTATTAACATTTTTCACCAAAATGTACTTTTTTTTATTAGTCAAAGTCCATAAACATGCCTGCCTTGCTGAGCAACATCTTATCTCAGCATAAATGCTTTATGAGCTAAGGGTTTCTTGCTGGCTGACCCGGAAGAGTCACTGGTTAAGCTAGTTTAGAAGCCTAATGGAAACACAAGCAACTAATAATGATGACCAGCATCCAAAACACAACATATGCAGGTGTTCTCAGCAGGGTCGATATGAATTAAACAGGCCTCTGAGAAGGTATCCATATTTAAAAGAGTTCTCTGACATTGAAACACGAGACCAACCGAACCAAAACCTCCCGGAGACAATAGGAATATTTCAGCATTTATGAGCACATCTCCACTTTCAGGTTCAGACCTCATAATTTTCGGGTGTCAGCTCTCCAGTTTTGGAGAATCACACTGTAAAAAATAAAGCGTATTTATAAAAAAATGTTATTTGTTTTACATACTTAAACTTTTGAAATAAAAAAAAATGCAATAAACATTAATTTTATAACATTAAATGTAACATAAAACCCTTAACTGATTAGAAAAAAAACTAAGAAAACTATAAAGAAACAGTTATTTCAACAAAAATACATCAAATGTGAAGTGTCACGCAGGGAATTGTGGGAATGTCAACTGACGTTTTTTTTTCCACTCTAAATTATACTACGAGTTGGTAAATTTAACAGTATTTTACAGTAAAATTACATTTAAATATTCTATCATCAGATCGATCAGAGTCATTTACCATATATAGTAAGGAAAATTTCTGTTAACCAATTAACTTTTTTCACTGTAAATTATACAATGAGTTGTTAAAACGAACGGTATTTTACAGTAAAATTATATTAAATGTACCATCAGTCATTTACCGTATATAGTAAGGAAACTTTGTTAACCAATTAACCTTTTTCACTGTAAATTATACAATGAGTTGTTAAAATGAGCGATATTTTACAGTAAAATTACATTAAATGTACTATCAGTCATTTACCGTATATAGTAAGGAAACTTTCTGTTAACCAAATAACATTTTTTTTTCACTGTAAGTTATACAAGTTGTTAAAATTAACGGTATTTTACATAAAAAAATCAGATCTATCACAGTCATTTACCATGTACAGTAAGTAAACTTTCTGTTAACTAATTAACATTTTTTTACTGTAAATTATACAACGAGTTGTTAAAATTAACAGTATTTTACAGTAAAGATCTAGTCAGATCTATCACAGTCATTTACGGTATAGAGTAAGGAAACTTTCTGTTAACCAATTAATGTTTTTTTCACTGTTACCGTTAAAAACACGATATTTTTTTTACAGCACACACTTAAAGAACATGTGCATTTCTCTGTAATGGAAACAGAGCTCCTGCTGTCTGCAGGTGGAAACATGGTTAACCGCCGCTTACTTATAATCATCATACTCACAGCCACCTGCTGTCAGACACTCTCATGTAATTACAATGGGTTCAATGCTATTTTTAATCTTTGATTTCATACAGTACTTCTTGTTCCATATTTTTTTTACCGCTTTTAGCAGTGTTTCTCAACCGGTGAGTCACGAATTAACAGTGGTCACGGCTTAATGATCATGGGAAGTCCCATGGCCAAACCACTGGCTTATACTTTATAACTTGTACTTTTTATGTCAGGGCAAGAGTAATTCATGTTGTAAAAAAAAAAGTTGCCACATTTATTGTAGAATAAATATCTCTTTACATCATTCTGGACACCATTGACTTACGTCACTGACTGTAATTCATGTTTCATGACTTTTAAAACATCATGTTTGTAATAAACCGAACAAAAGAATTCTCTCGTTTGACGCGACCCTCGGGTCAGAACGCAACACAATGCTATATTGTCCGATCTTACGAATGATGCATCGACGCAGCGCTATAGCTTCCAGACAGATTCTTGTTTTCAATGAATCATTTGATTTACAAGTTGTAGTCCTCTTGAGGCGTCGTAATAGAATGTCCGAGCTTTCCACGAATCACAGTGACATGTAAGAAATAGGTTTTCGGGTGTTGGGTCGACAACTGCTCAAAGCTACTCAGAAAACAGCCGAGCGGCTCAGTCACCCACGGTGGAAGGAATTTATGAGAGGACAATCGCTTTCACTGTTCCATGAGAAACAAATAGATTCGGACCACCAACTGGGAATCTTGACAACCGCGCTTTTTTTATTTATTTTTTTTATAATACAAGCTTTATAAGAGAAAAACTCTGCTACTGTTATGGCAGTTCTTAATCAGCATATTTATCTGGTTTTCCATTAAAAAGAAAATATTTCCTGAAGTGAGCTGTCTTTATTTGTATTGCTCGCTTTAAACATAAAATTCTCTCAATTTAAGTTGTAAAAGTCAAAAGGAGAATCGTGTAAACGTTTTTCAAACGAGCTATACATTTTCTACAAAGTCTTAAAGGGACAGTTCACCCATTAATGTAGATTGTGTCATCATTTACTCACCCTCGTGTCATTCTAAACCTGTATGACTTTCATTCTTCTGTGGGACATAAACACAAAGTATCTTAAGCAATTTAGCTTTTTTAAGGAACGTTATTGTTGTTTTATTAAGAAAACGTTCACCACAAAATTAAAACGGTTGCTCACCTTTACACGGTTCCAAACGTTGATTTTCTGTGAAACACAAAATGCTTTGGTTTTCATTTCCAGGTAAAACCTTTAATTATGGGGACAAAATATCACCACAAAAAAAACCTTTTTTTTGTTCAGAAAGTTGTCTGTAATGGGTAGGGGATAGAATATAGAGTTTGTACGGTATAAAAAAACATTGTTTATAGAGAGACTGCATAAAACATGAAAACAGTGTGTGTGTCCGTGTGCGTCCATCTGGAAAAATATTCTGAATGTTCTGATCCAATCTGACTTCTGACCTGTAATGCTGCCTGAATCATAATCGGCTCGTTGATCAGAAACGAACCATCGCTGAACTTGAAGTTCTTAATAAGACATTATTTTCTTCTAGATCTGCTGTAGAGCCAAAACGTTATTTTCCTGTCATCACTGTAAAGCTGCTTTGAAACAATCTGTATTGTAAAAAGCCCTCTATAAATAAAGGTGATTTGACTTTGTGTGTGTGTCGACTGGACTGGTCCCAGCTGCACCAGGTCATGGCACCAACTCGGATAAGACTCAAACTCCTCCAGGCGATTTGTCCCAGCCTGTTGCCATATGCATCCTCCACGTTCCTCGGGGTCTGTCCCACATGGTGCCGTAGTGGCATGCAGACTCAGAGGTTGTAGAGGACACGCTGGCTTCTCCGGTCATGCTGATATTTGTGTCGCCTGCTGACAGTTGGCCTTGCGCACACAAACACACACACACACACACACACACAAAGTGTCATTGTGTCGGGCCGGTGATGCAGACTGACAGAGCTTCACTACGCATCTGGCATCAAGGTGGGTGAGAGAGAGCTTAGACATCCACAAAGACTGTCCTTCCAGGTTAAATGTGGCAGACATGAACTGTGTTCAGAATGAAATACTTGCATACTGCTTATGTGACCCACCACATTGAGTTTGGGTCATGAGTGTAGTAAATAGTCAACGCGTTCTCATCCTAGGGCGTCATATAGTGACACTTTTGAAATTTCGTCTAAATCCAACGCACATTGCACCCTTTAACGTCAGTATAACACACACAGAGCCTTGTTCGGTTATGGGTAGGTTTAGGTCTGGGTAGGTTTAGGGTTAGACCACTAGGAGGCGCCTTCTGGCCCATATATATCTGCGTCCAATGCATTCTCATTCCAGGGCGTCATTGAAATAGTGTGTAAATCTGACACACATGGCACCCGTTAGCGTCACTATAACGCTTCGGTTATGGGTAGGTTTAGGTCTGGGTAGGGTTAGGGTTAGACCACTAGGAGGCGCCTTCTGGCCCATATATATCTGCGTCCAATGCATTCTCATTCCAGGGCGCCTTTGAAATTGTGTGTAAATCTGACACACATGGCACCCGTTAGCGTCACTATAACGCTTCGGTTATGGGTAGGTTTAGGTCTGGGTAGGGTTAGGGTTAGAGCACTAGGAGGCGCCTTCTGGCCCATGTATAACTGCGTCCAATGCATTCTCATTCCAGGGCGTCA